CCAACTTATTACCAATGGCCTCCCACCGAGAAGGGATGGCCTCCAACCTAGAAGCGATGGCCTCCAACCTTGTAGCAATATTTGCTGTGTTCTTATACAAGCAGTTCCCGGGCAAGCCGGCGGCGGAAGTTTCCTATAAGAACAAATTGACCTATAGGAGTGTCCACGTTCTCTCCAACATGCGCGTCCAAACGGCTTCTGCATGTTTCTGTCTACTTGCTCCCCTCTTAGTTTGCTTCTTGTTAGGAATTACGAGCGCATCTGCCGCCTTCCTGTACTTTAACCCGGAAGAGGAATCAGCCACTTTCGTATTGCTTGTGTTTGAGAAACCAAAGTAGGTGTGAAGCCAAACGTTTTGATTGGCTTTTCCGGTTTGTATTTGCAATATTCTGCAAAATCCGAGTGCAGATCTTTATGTGGAGGACGGAGGACCTCTTTTCATGTGGCAGTATTTGACATCAAAGAGAAAGCTATCGAAGGATAGGAGAGTCTCCAGCAATCCAAAAGTTCAACGTTTCGCAAGCACCGAAAAAACAACGACTCGTCGACTCATACTCGTCCGACCCCATGATCAATCATGATCCTCTTTCGCAAAGCATCCTAAGCCCATAGAACTTCCATTCGGAACAAAGCATTCATTTCTCGTTTGTCATGGCACTGGCTGCTGAAGTTTTGCTGCCTATCCCTTAGCCAAGCGGACAGACTCTGGCGGACTCTGACAGACTCTGGGTCGTATTCGTTCAGATTGAGAAACACATAGAAGCAATGACCTCCCTAATTGTAATGGCCTCGGTCCAACCTAGTAGTGATTGGAAACACTCCCTATTGATTCACCTTGCAAGAGTTTTATCATGATGCTGCGGTTGGGATGTGATTGTTGGCCGCCGCTCTTCCGGGACTGCACACAGTTCACCTATGGTCACCCTAGCGTTCACCCTCTTGAAACCTTTCTACTAGGAGCAAGGACGCTATTAGGAGCAAAGGGCATTTCTACTAGGGATAATGGGCATCGCTACTAGGGGCTCCTGGCATCGCTACTAGGAGCATTCTTACTACTAGGAGCAAGGACACTACTAAGGGCTCAGAGCAAGACAATAAGCTTTGGACAATTTCGTGCCGCTTCGGGAACTCACATGCGTATGTCGATATGAATCCGATGGAACAAGAGCGACGGCCTCCAACCTAAGAGCAATGGCCTCGAACCCAAAAGCAAGTATTTGGATCTACATGATGCAGAACCGAGTGCTGTGTGACAAAGAAACGGCGGGTCCAACATCAGTGCAACTTCGCGGGCATGTTCTGGTTCAAACCGAACAGTGAACAACAAATCTTGGTATGTAGGAGTCATAGAAAGTTCCACGGGAGACAAGGGGAGAGGAAGCTGCGTTTTTGGTCTTTAGAAGAAGACTAAACACATCTGAATACGTAAAAGATCGTTAAAGAAATCAGAACAACTAACCGGGCATCGCTACTAGTAGCACGGACGCTACGAGTAGCTCCTGGCCTTACTACTAGTGACAAGAAGCTACTAGGAGCTAAAGGGCATCGCTACGAACGGAGCGATCGGACGCTACGACCTTTCTTTGTGTTTCTTTCACTCCGTTTCAAGATTTGCATTTCAACATGGCTCGATTTGCACGAGGCCTCAGTTCTCTGCGAGGCAGACTGTGCCGATACCGACCCCGCAGTCGTGGGAGGTCAAAAGCACAAAGAGCGGTCCTGTCATATTGCTCCGTTCGTAGCGATGCCAGGAGCCCCGAACGCAGCTTCTTGTTACTACTAGTAAGGCACTTGTTACTAGAAGCGATGCACTTGTTCCTAGTAGCGTCCTTGCTCCTAGGTGTTCTCCTGTCATGGAAGAAAGAAGGGAAGCAAACATGTAAGGTAGGCCATCGCTACTAGGTAGGCCGTTGCTATGAGGTCATGTAAGGTCCAGAGGTCCAAATTGAAAAGCACAGAAGGAAGGAAGAAACACAAAGAAAGGTAGTAGCGTCCTTGCTCCTAGTAGCGATGCCCTTTGCTCCTAGTAGCTTCTTGTTCCTAGTAGTAAGGCCAGGAGCCCCTAGTAGCGTCCTTGCTCCTAGGTGTTCTTAGGGTGACATTCATAGATTCGAGGCCAGCGCAGTAATCGGAGTTTGATAGATTTGTTCCTTCACGTACGGCATTCGTCATGACGTGTTGTGTGTTTGCGTCGCATGGTTTGATTTCCATTTGACAGGCACAACTGCGGCATGGCTGCAGAAGAATCACGTTTCAATTAGCAACTGGCGTCAGACATGACGTCAATTAGGGGGAGGTCATCGCTATTCGGTTTTTCCCATTTTCCCCTTGTCGAGGTGACTGTTCCACTGTTTGAGACCGAGGTCGAAGCTGCCAAGGCTGCGGCACAAGTATCGGAAGACAAACTAAACAGCGGAAGCACAACATGGCAACGTCTTGCTGTTTTGTTTCAGCTTTCTGGTATCCCCGCTATGTAGAAGAACAATGTTCTTCAGAAATGTGGCCTGCAGTCACTGGTCGCTTTTAAGCTGTTGCTTTGAAATATGGGCTTTGTCCTGATTGGATATCTATAATTAAAATTATACTTTTTTACGTGTTTCCCTCGCAGGGAGATCTGTGTGAGACGTGGTGATAAGGTTTCCAGCCGAGAGTGGTGCCATTGCAGGCGCGTCATCGATGGAAATGGAACTTATTTTTGAATCAGATTGCAGCGCTTGCAGCTTGTGCTGACCCGTGTCAAGGCCAAAAAGCCGAGCTATTCGAAGCCTTTTCATGAAGTGAAGGGGCTCCTTGTTGGGCTTGGGCTAACTTCGCTTGCCTCGGTGCGCCAGACCAAATTTGAGATGCCACCAGATTCAGACTTTGTTTGATTCAGACTTTTGTCAGCTCAAAGACTTGACTTGACTTACTTACTAACTTGCAGCCATGTGGATCTCAAGTTGGTCTCAGACGGGATAGAGACATGCAAAGGCAAAGGACAACCTGAGAGGGCACAACATGCTTCAGGAGGTAGCGTCAGATCAGAAAGAAGCACGAATCCAATAATACGTGATGAGATGGGGCAGATGGCAAGATTTGGGTTGAGGGTTTGGCAGTTGGTTCATCCTTATTTTGCGAATGGAAGAAAGAGCAAACTTCTTCTCCTGCAGAGGTTCTACCTTTTGAGCTCTTCAATGGGGTGATTTTGCGTCCATGGCGTTCGGTTCTGCGAGAACCGCAAGCTGCAAGCGCAAGCACACCCATGGGAGCTGGCTCATCTATTGGCAGCTGTGTTGAACGGCCTTGGTGCTGCACTCCCATCTGCGAGCGAGATGGAGTCTACCTGGACCTGGTCACAGCCGCTCGGTGTCCGTTTGCCGTAAATGTTCGACGGTCTCCAATTACTCACAGACAAGCCTTACTCACTAGTAACAAGAAGCTATTAGTAACAAGTGCCACGCTAGTAGTAACAGGTGCCTTACTAGTAGTAGGAAGAAGCCATTAGTAACAAGTGTAGCGATGGACTCCAACCGAATTGCGATGGCCTCAAGCCTAATAGCAGTTTTTAGGGCGCTACTAGCCGCTACTATTTTTCCCTTAAAATCTAAAAACCAAATCATCAGTGCGAGCGCTTCTGCATTCTAAGTAGTAGCTATTTTAGCTACTAGGAACAAGTGCATCGCTACTAGTAACAAGTGCCTTACTAGTAGTAACAAGGACGCTAGTAGAAACAATATGTAACTAGAATCTAATTTAAGCTAGCAGCTACCTCCCTAGCGGCCTACCCCCCCTGCGCGCTCGAAAAAGCTCTTGCTAGCTATTCCTACCTTTATTTAGCTACTAGCTACTACTACCTACCTACCTCTACGGTGGGGGAGGAGCGGGCTAAAAACAAAAGAACAGGTAATTAGTAAATATAATTTGATTCTAATTAAATTCTAGCTTCTTGCTCCTACTAGTAAGGCCCTTGTTACTAGTAGCGATGCACTTGTTACTAGTAGAGTCACTGGTAATGACCCTTTGCAAAGATTTTCCTGCCTTTTTGCCCGAGGCGATTCCCAGCCATGGTGTCGGCTGTGGCGCCTTCGACGAAGAAGTCATCGAGGTTGAGTGTCCAGCTGGAGCGATCTTCTTGGAGACGCTCCAAAGTTTGAATGCCTTGGACAGGACTCACAGACAAGCCTTACTCACTAGTAACAAGAAGCTACTAGTAACAAGTGCCACGCTACTAGTAACAAGTGCCTTACTCACTAGTAA